TGTTGGTGGTGCTGCTGCTGCTGCTGTTGTTGTTGTTGTCGTTGTCGTTGTTGTTGTTGTTGTTGTAGCTGCTGTTGTTGTTGTCGTCGTAGTAGTCGTAGTAGTCGTAGTCGTAGAGTAGTACAGTAGCAATACACACCCTACTTTTCCGCCCCCACAACCGACCAAACCTGAGTGAATCTTCCCCGGCCTCTGCTTATCCCACGTATACTCAAAACTGGCTGATCCTCTGCGCATTCTAGACGGCACCCCAAAAATTGATGAAATCCTGCATACACGCAGGAATAGACTTTAAAAGGCCTCATAGGGGGCCCCTTAGTTCAGCACAGTGCTATGTTCCGCTACACAAGCCGCAACGCAAGGCGGCTCCACCGAATGACCCAGCGGCGGCTCCAGGTGAGAGTTCAGCTGCAGAAGAACCACTGCCGTCTGCAGAGTCCGAGAAAGTGACGGCCGAGCACCTGCCAGCAGAAGCTGAGAGCCCTGAAGGGCCGCCTTTGCAGGCCGATCCAGGCCTATCAAGATACGAGAAGCAGGTGGCCGATCAGATCGATTCAGATCTTCCCCGGACCTTTCCGAATATCGAGGAGGGGAAGTCTGAAAACCTGTGCGCATGCTTGTCTTAGGCTCCGGCGGCCTTCAGAATTCAATCGTTGCTGTTTTACGAAGCCACTGTACGGTCCGATAGAACACGAAGCTTCAGACGGTTGTTGGGGATGCTCTTTTCGACTGAAGTTGTAACCACAGTAAATAATCATTAGATGAGGCCGGCCTCTTAGCATACGTAAGTAAGGCAAAACGGGAAATTGTTCCCATCTACGATCGCATCTCTTCAGGACGTCCAGGCGCAGAGGGCCACCATTCGTGAGGTCCTCCTGGCCTTTAGCAAGGCAAATCCGCATGTCGGCTACTGCCAGGGTATCGTGGCAGGTTCTAGAAGCCTTTCTTGGGTGTCTGACTGCCAATTTGGTTCTAAGCTGCGACCTTGGCAACCCCAAGCGCCCCAGAATAACACACAAGCTGACGCAAGCCGAGATCTGCAGACAGAATAATCCAGCTCAAGGCTTAACAAGCTAGCAAATAACAAGCAAGTACAGCCACCGGCAACCGACACCGGAATAGACGGCCACCACAGCAGCTTCGACTGCAAGAACCCCTGCGACCGCCACCAGCAGAGCAAAAACAGCAACAACAAAGTCAACGAGCAACCTGCATCACACATCTTGAGAAATTTTGGTGACAAACGAACAACAAGAACGAACAGAGGAAAACATGAATATATATATATATCTGTGTGTGTAATGTGTATATATATATATATACATATATATATATATTTATTTACGTCATACATACATACATACATACGTACATACATACATACATACATACGTGCATACATACATGCATACATACATACATACATATATATATTAATTATCATGTCATATCATATCATATCGTATCATATATATACATATATACATATACTATGATATGATATGATATGATATGATATGATATGATATGTATGCATGTATGTTTTTATGTATGTATGTATGTATGTATGTATGTATGTGTATGTATGTATGTATGTATGTATATGTATGTATACATATATATATATACATATATATATATGTATATATATGCGCATTAATATCTGTATGTATATATATATATACGTGTATGCTTCAATAGGTCAAAAACATAAACATAGATGAAAAGCCATCAAACACACACATGTGTATGTGTATGTGTATGTATGTATGTATGTATGTATGTATGTATGTATGTATGTATACAAAGACATGTATGTATGTATGTATGTATGTATGCATGGATGTATGTATGTATGTATGTATGTATGTATGTATACAAAGACATACAGATACACACACACACACACACACACCCGCGCGCGCGCACGCACGTGCTTGAAGCTTGTATTCGCGTGTCATGCGAGCAACAAACAGAATGAACAACTTTGACTGCGTCGCCTGCTCTCTCCAGAGCGTCTTCCTCGGGTTACATGGCTTTCCTTGCCCTGTTCCGTGTATTCTGGGAATGGCGTATCGACGAAGCAACCAGTACGACTCGATGTGCTACGTAGATTAGCATCTGCCTGTTCACCTGTACCGGGGCCGTCTGACGACGGCGGCGTGGGCGTTCGAGCCAATCATTCTGTTCCCGTGTCTGTGGGCAACAGAGCGAGTATCGCAACAACCGCCGGAAAACAGCCAGCAACAGAGAGCACCACACCACAAGGACAACCCCACTACCAAGCAAGAAAATCAGCAACACCGAATACAGCATAAGCAGCAGCAGCAGCAGCAGCAACAGCAGCAGCAGCAGCAGCATCAGCAGCAGCGGCAGCNNAGCAGCAGCAGCAGCCATGGCGAAAGCCAGAACAACAGGTCTTCAGAAGTGTATGCGGTAAAATCAAACATTATTTGTCAGTAGACCTGGCAAGTTGGCGCTGTATCTTTGACCTCGCTTTCAGCGCAACCCACTTTTTAAACCTTCGAGGCATGAGCTTTCCCGCGGCCGTGC